CCATGAGATCATGACCTGAGCTGACATCAAGAGTCGGATGCTTAGCCTACTCAGCCACCCGGGATCCCCTAGCCCAGAGGTTTTAAAATATGCACGTACACACATCCATCCATACATTTAGCATTGCTATACATAGAAACATTGCTTTAGAGCAGTGTTATAGTCCGCATACCATTGGCATTCCCCGAGACCCTTTCAGGGGTTTGTGAAGTTAAAACTGTTGTGATGATTACACTGAGACGTTTCCTCTTTTCACTGTCAGCATTTGTACTGATGATGCAAAAGCAATGGAGGATAAAACTGTTGGTGCCTTACTATGAGTCAAGGCAGGGGCACCAATTGGGTGCTAGTAGTTTTTGTATTAGTGACCACCAAACACTCACAGAAAAATTTCACTTTCACTTAAGAATAACCTTGAAGATGTAATAAATTACTAATTTTATTTTTTTAATTAAAGTTTTTAACGCTTATTTATTTTTTTGAGAGAGAGAGAGAGACAGACCATGAATGGGGGAGGGTCAGAGAGAGAGGGAGACACAGAATCCAAAACAGGCTCCAGGCTCCGAGCTGTTGGCACAGAGCCTGATGCGGGGCTCAAACTCACAGACTGTGAGATCACGACCTGAGCCGGAGTTGGACGCTCAACTGACTGAGCCACCCAGGTGCCCCTTAAATTACTAATTTTATTAACTCTCAGTCCTTGAATATACTTCTTTTGAAATACTGTGTGTGATGAAATAGGTAGTATGCATAAATGATTTCTGTATCTACAGTATAAAGGTTTTCTTGAGGAAAACCACTTGAATTGTAAGTTGAACTAGCTGCTTTTTTTTTTTTAATCCAAAGACATTTTTGTTTGAAAGGATGATCGGCAAAGCACCATGTATTAATTATTGCTGCATAACGATAGGATCACAAACTTAGCAGTTTAAAGCAATATGCAGTTATTATCTCATGGTTTCTGTTAGGAGTCAAGGCATGGCTTTGCTGGGTCCTCTGCTTCAAGGTCTCACAAGGCTGCAGTCAAGGTGTCAGCCAAAGCTACCATACCATTTAATATTGCTTCCAAACTCACATGGTCATTGGCAGTATCCAGTTCTTTGTGGGTCATCAGACTGAAGGCATCTGTTTCTTGCTGCTGTTGGCCAGAGACTGCCCTCAGTTCCTTGCTGTGTAAGCCTTCCTAACATGATTGGTTGCTACCTCAAAGACAGCAAGGGAAAGTGAGTCCTTAGCAAGACGAGCTATATACCATAATCATGTACATTCTATCACATTTGCCATACTCTGTTGGTTAGAAACAATCACAGGCCCAATCCACACTCAAGGGGAGATAACACAGAGTGTAAATATTAGGAGGGAGTCATGGGGGCCACCTTTAGAATCGCCGACACAGTTTTTCAGTCCTCAAAAATGTACAAAGTGTGCCTGTCACAGAAAAAAAAAACAAAAACCTGATAGTATTCTTGCCAATGATAAGATTTGAGCTTTCAAGCAAAAATTAGATTTTTGTGGGGGCATCTGGCTGACTCAGTCAGAGGAGCATCTGACTCTTGATTTCAGAGTTGTGAGTTCAAGACCCATGTTGGGGGCTTTAAATAAAACTTCTTTAAAAAATAGATTTTGGGGGCACCTGAGTGGCTCAGTTGGTTAAGAGTCCGACTCTTGATTTCGGCTCAGGTCATGATCTCACAGTTAGTGAGATTGAGCCCCGTGTTGGGCTTCATGCTGACAGTGCAGGGTCTGCTTGGGATTTTCTCTCTCCCTCTTTCTCTCTCTCCTTCTTTCTCTGCCCCTCCCCTGCTTGTGTGCACACATACACACTCTCTCTCTTAAAAAATTAAATTTTAAAAGATAGATTTTTGGAAAACTTGTCTCTGCATTCTGAAACAATTATCAATAATAATATGAGTTCTGGAGTAGTAGTTCAAAACACCTGAATTGAAAATGAGAGAGACTTGGGGCGCCTGGCTGGCTTAGTCAGGGTAGTGAATTTTAGCCCTACTTGGGGTATAGAGCTTACTTAAATCAAACTGTATAAGAAAAACAAAGAAAAGAAAATGAGGGCTTGAGTGCTAATTCTAGCTAGAGCATTGTCACAACCTCAGTGGCCCTCATTTTCTTCATTTCTAAAATAAGAATATTTACCCAAACTACTGGCTCTCAAACTTGGATCCTCTAAGCATCCACAGGATGTTTTTCTTTTTAATTAAAAAATTTTTTTTAATTTACATCCAAATTAGGTAGCATATAGTGCAACAATGATTTCAGGAGTAGATTTCTTAATGCCCCTTACCCATTTAGCCCATATCCCCTCCCACCAACCCCTCCAGTAACCCTCTGTTTGTTCTCCATATTTAAGAGTCTCTTATGTTTTGTCCCCCTCCCTGTTTTAATATTATTTTGCTTCCCTTCCCTTATGTTCATCTGTTCTGTGTCTTAAAGTCCTCATATGAGTGAAGTCATGATATTTGTCTTTCTCTGACTAATTTCGCTTAGGATAATACCGTCTAGTTCCATCCACATAGTTGCAAATGGCAAGATTTCATTCATTTTGATTGCCGAGTAACACTCCATTGTATATATATACCACATCTTTTTTATCACAGGCTGTTTTTAATAAAAAGTTAATAGGTGTTCTTGATAATGGTAGGCTGCCAAAAATGTAAAAATTATTTTAGCTGGAATCAGACTAATTCAGTGGTTTCTCATGCTATCATAAGCTGTTTGGCATTTAGGGGAAAAAAAGCAAAAAGGAATATAATCATTTACATGGAGATAGATGAAAATCATTCCTACCTTTGACCTAGGGAAAAAGAATAATGGAGTGGGTGGTATCTTTCATATTAAAAAAATTAGAAACTAGAGCTTACTCAGACTCAGAATTTTTTGTTTCTGTGGGTATGGTTGTTTAATCAAAGTTCCTCAGTTTCCCAATCCTAGGGAGCTTTTAGAAAACATTTTTGTTTTGTTTTTTTTTGTCATTTGATCTGGGGTGAGGCCTGAGCGTGATAGATTTTTTTTTTTAACTCTCCAGGTGATTCTAATGTGAGCAAGGATGGAGAATGACAGATATATATTTTCAAATCAATTGAGAATCCTATGTAAGGGAATTTTCTCTGAAAACGTTAAGCTTCATTCTTCTCTTACCACAACAGCTCTTTAGGGCAGTCTAGAAGATAATTTTATGTGTGTGTGTGTGTGTGTGTGTGTGTGTGTGTGTGTGTGTGTTTCATAAAAGTTTATGAAACAAAATAATTATAACTTTTTACAGGATTTTACAAAGAATTTATCACAAGTTGAATCGGATGATTCTTCAGATTTACTGTTTGACTTGACCCAGGATACAATTCCACTGTCCCAGGAGGGATCATCAATTTATATAGAAGGTTTGGCTTAGCACATTTTATGAATATAATAAAAAGAAACTTCGTGAATATACATGTGGATTGAATTTCTATTTTGAAACCCATACCTTCATGTTAAGTTTTTCATATACCGTAAGATAGAAGCTAATAATCCCTGACTGCCTTTCTTGTGTGATTTCTTGTGTATAAATTTGAATTTAATAGTAGAATATTGTATTTCTTTCTATTAAGTTAGCTAACATGTATTTTTTTAGCTCATTCTCACTTGGAACCAGCCATGGCCTGAAAAATCTTAATATAATTTCTGTGAGTCAAGAAAGTCCCCTGATGTCCTAATACTATCATTTAAAAAAAAAAAGTATTAATCATTTGGAAGGCCATTAGTATGAGAAAAAGCACATGGTTATAGTTGATTTTTTAAATAGGCTAGTGTCTTTCTTTCCAAATAAATCATGTTGATGTGATAGTTAAATATGATTATAGAGTATTATTATAAAAAGGCAGTCTTTAAAAAAATGGTTATTTGCACATAGTAAGTACCTAGTAAATATCCATTGAAGGAATAATGAAAATTTTCAATTGAAGTATTACAGTTCTTTGATTGTGTACCATAACAAAGTTCTTCATTAACTTGAAATAAATTAGTATGCCATGAATTTTATTTAGTTAAAAATTCCCTTATAATCATAGCAATTGCTATTTGTATATTAGTAAATTTGTTATATTTCACTAAATGGAGGTATGTAAAGATTTTTTTAATATTTAAATTGTTTCCTAACAAATTCATGCACATTTATCAAACCAAAATAGAAAAAAACTTCTATAGTAATATGTGTGCAAAAATATTTTTCCCATTTTGATAATACTTGGATTATTTACCAATCTAGGGTCACTTATCTAAGTTAGTAAAATAACCAAGAACCAAAATAAATGAGAAGGTAAAATAGTTGTCTGAAGTCTGATTTTATAAAGCACATGGTCTTTATTCATAGAAAATGTCTGAAATCTTGAAGCTTCTAGGGGGTAACAACAGTGACACCTAATCCTCTTGTAAATTGTTATACTATAGGGAGTGGAACTTTGCCTTGATGGTAAATGGGGTTATAGTTGATTAGCAAAGTATAGGTTTGAGCCTGTATTCTAAAGGTTTTTGTGGCCTTTATCATGTCACATCTTTATGTTTCAGATTTCTCATTTCATTGAAATATATACTTTTATTTTTGTCAGATAATGCATTCATTCTCCAGACCTGAAGTCAGCCATTTGGAGATATAATTTTAATTCTTGCTCTACTTATCTCAGAGCTTTTTTGAGGCTCAAATGAGATAAGTGAGAAATGATAAATGCATTAAAGCTTTAAAGGACTTGACAGTAAACAGTTGTTAGAATGATAATTGCAAATGATAATATGTATTATGTGTTCAGAAGCCTGATTAATGGACTCCTGTCTAGAATAATCATAGAAAGTCCTTGGAGAAGGTTGGATTTAGCTTGATTTTGGAAGAATGAGAATAGGATTTTTATTGGCACTGTTGAAGATAGTGAATGGCACAAGCCAAAGACAGTAGAAATAAACAGGTTAAGGGTTTAGAATTTAAAACTATTGAGCTCAGAGTGATTTTATTTAACTTGGGAATTTACTCATGCTTTAAAAAATTATATATGAAACAGTCTATATTTATTGTACAGCCTGCTAGATAATCAGTTGCCAAAATAACAGCCATCATTGGTTGTTCAAGTAACCTAAGTATCTGAGAAGAATGTTAGTGATTACACAGAAATTGATCCCAAGTGCCTGCAGTATAGCTGTCAGTAAGCATGTGCTTGAAGATGGGAAAAATAATTTCTATGTTATCTTAAAGAATGAAGCACATATTTTACAGTGGAGCCCACTAATACAATACTGTCATTTTCCTTTTATTTGTCTGTTCTACTGCTTCTCCTATTACTGTACAGTTGGGAGCATTAAAATAGGATGTGCAGTTTTAGAATCTTTATCACAAAGTACAATTGTGTGTTATTTTCTAGAGGACTTCTGCTGGGTCTGGTTATAGCCTAAATAGCCCCACTTATCTTGAAAATACCCTGAATTACATGATTCTTTGGCCTTTAAGGTGATGGTTTTCAAACTCAAAACTGTTTAGTAATGAAATCTCCTCTCAAACAAAATTTTATGTAAAAGTCTAATTTCTTTAAAAAGGTAAAAGGAGAGTTTTTCTAAATGATTTGCCTACTATATTCCCTAAGACAAAACCATTAGCCTCAGGGGAATACAGTTTGAAAGCCATCATACTTTTTTAAGTTTTTCCATATGAATGTGTGAGGTATTATCATTCAGGATTAGTTGTTCGCACTTTGTTCATGGGTTTAAATTACTTGCTTATTCCCTATCAGGTTGTTAATGAGTAGAAAAAGAACTTTTTATGAGTATCTTAAAGGTTTTCTCTAAATTTTTAAAATAAAAGTTGTTTTTGTTTACAAGCCCAAAGGTATTTAAGCATCTGAAGGTAAATCTGTTTATGGGAACTGAGCTTAGAATGTTCCCTGTGCTTCAACTTTTTTTTTTTTTTTTGCTGGGGATTTTTTTGGTCTGCCTTCTTTTATGTTACCTATTTATATATATTTCTTTATGTGGAAGTATTTTTAGAATTTTCTTGCATACAAAGTTTATTTCATGAATTGTTCAAATGTATGTAGTTCATAATAACTATTTGTACAATTTCTATCTTGATCATATAAGTTTTGATCATTCTGTATTGTCATTTGTATGCTATAATTCATTTATATTATCTTTAATTTAGCTTCAAAGTATTTTTACTTAAATTTAAATGTAAAGCCATTTTAGTAGCATTTGTAAGCAATGGTCTATATTAAAATATTTACACATATTTTCCCCACTATTTAAATCATTGTAGGTATAGATGAAACTCTGCCTATATTAAAACGTTCTTCTACTTCTAAAGTAAACAGTGTTAATCCAAAAAAGCCAAAGACCAGTGAAAGTGGTTCTGACATAAATCCTTGTGCTTCGTTGTCCTTAACTAACTCTCCTTCGGTGGCATCTTCCCATGTTATGATATCAAAAGGTAAATATGAATCTAGCATGTGAAATAGAAATTATATTACTTATACATAAATTTTAGACATTCTAATGAATTTTTAAACTTTTATTACTGGTTTTTTCACGTTTAAAAAAGAATTTGAGTCACGAAAGTCCTTAATCTATTTTAGGTACAAATACCTCATCACCTCACTATAAAACTGGAGCGCCTTTTCTAAGATCTTGTCCGAGGTGCAATGTAAAGTTTAATCTTTTGGATCCCTTGAAATATCACATGAAGGTAAAATTTTTTCAAAATTTGAATTTTAAAAATACTGGCAAGTCTCTGAAAACATTAAGGATCAGCCCATTGTAAATGCTCGTTTGTCCGGGTATTTAGATAAGGAATCTTCTCACTGATATTTTCATATAACTTAAGTAAAAATTGATATTCATGATGATTGTCTTTATACAAGATTTAAGAATCTTTCCCAATCATGAAATTTTAAATTTAGCTTATGTGTACTATAGTATATGCATATTGTATTTTACAGGGGGCATTAGAGGATACCAAGTAATCCTTCATTAATTTTATTAAATGTGATAATAGCTTTATCAGCCATAAAATTATCCATAAAAATATCCATTTTCTGGAGCTGGATGATGAAGTAAGGTGAAATTGACAGTGTTTGGGAATTGCTTTAAAACTAAGGATGCTAGACCAAAGCTTTAGATGTTGCTTTTTCTAAGAGATGTGATTGTCATTGATCTCTCTCTGAGGCTTTAGAATATATGAATACATTAAACACAGTGTGTAGTACTTTAAGAAATAGAATAGTCCCAAGTGAGGAGGAGATCTTCCCTACCTCTGACCCCTTTATTATTTTTTAATGTTTATTTTTGAGAGAGAGAGAGAGCTGGGGAGGGGCAGAGAGTGAGATAGAGGATCTGAAGCAGGCTCTGCAGTGTCAACGCAGAGCTGGATGTGGGTGGGACTTGAAATCATGAACCGTGAGATCATGACCTGAGCTGAAGTCGGATGCTTAACCGACTGAGCCATCCAGGCACCCCCCTCCAATCTTTTTAAAGTATTATATCTAGAAGACTGTAAAAAGTCCAGTGTTTCTTTTAGCGACAGCCCTTAGAATGTTTGCAGGTATTAGAGCTTTCCCAGGTGAATCATTTATTTCTCAGATCTTAACATTTCTTTCTCTTCATTTCTGGCATTTTTTTTTAATTTAAAAGTTTTTTAAGATTTATTTGTTTTTGAGAGAGTGCAAGCGGGAAAGAGACAGGGGGACAGACGATCTGAAGTGGGCTCTGAGCTGACAGCAGCGAGCTCAATGCAGGGCTCGAACTCACGAGCTGTGAGATCATGACCTAAGCCAAAGTTGGATGCACAACTGACTGAGCAACCCAGGTGCCCCTCGTTTCTAGCATTTTACCACTTGCAGGACAAATGTCTATGGCAAATCTCATTTGCAAAACCATCTGCCCCTACCTATGAAATGGTTCATGGGTGGAGGAATCCTCTCCTGCTCCTGGATGGCCTCCAATCGAATTGCTTTATTCAATCCCAAATGGTTCCCAGATAAGTTAGTCCCATGCACCACAGCTACCAAGTCACGCAGGGGCTGCAGCCTTTGTCTGATAGGGCCCGCCGGGCCCTGGGCCGAGGCACCCTTAGCCAGCACTCACACACGGTGCTTGAATCTCTGTACATACTGTATTTTAACTTCTAATGAAAATAATGTATTGATCAGAATATTTTATTGACTAGGTCATGCCATTCTTCAAACCTCTTGTAAAGCAGACATTTTGTTAGGTGCTTAATCTTTCATGGTACTTAAAAATTCTTTTCTTTAACGTTATTTTCTTTGGTGATATACATGTGTCACGTTACTCAATGAAAATCTTAGTCTTGCATTTTAGTGTTTATTCATCAGGCAGAAACTAATGGTAGAACATTTCATAAGTAATGCATGTTACTAATTGTTACAGGTTAATTCTAGCTTTATGTTGGTGTAGGAAGCTCTTGAAATTAGGTTTTAGGTAATTTTCTTTTTAAAAAAATGTTCATGTATTTTGAGAGGGAGAAAGAGAGGGGCAGAGAGATGGGGTGGGGGTGGGGAGAAAGAATCCCAAGTAGGCTCTATGCCCAATGTGAAGCCCGTCCCAGGGCTTAATCTCATGACCATGAGACCATGACCTGAGCTGAAATCAAGAGTCAGATGCTTAACCGACTGAGCCACCTATATTGCAGTGTTCTGTGTTGTCTGTGGAAAGAGAGTCTGTAGTCTTGTATGCCCAATATAAATGGCAGGCAGGGGGAAAGGAGGCAAGAAAAAAGGCCATGTAGATTATATTTAGGAAAGACGGGATGAGAAGAGTGCAAGGCAAAGAAGCAACTTAGGAAAAGTTATTGCTTGCTGTTTCAAAGATTGGCAAATTTTTCACTGAAATTCAACATTTTATAAAAAATGTAGGAAGAAGTGTCCTAAAATTCCAAGTACAATCTTTTTTTAAATTTTTTAACGTTTATTTATTTTTGAGAGACAGAGAGTAGGGGAGGGGCAGAGAGAGAGGGAGACACAGAATCTGAAACAGGTTCTAGGCTCTGAGCTGTCAGCAGAGCCCAGTGCAGGGCTTGAACTCATGAACCATGAGTCATGACCTGAGCCGAAGTCAGATGCTCAACCTATTGAGCCACCCAGGTGCCACTCCAAGTGCAATCTTTATTCTTGGGCAAAACTGTATTTGAATATTGAATATTTGAATATTGGAAATATGATTATTTCCACCTCCCTGAGTGTGATTCCCGTTAACTGAACTTTGGGTTTTGGTTTTATATAAGAATTAGCTTTTACCAGCATTTTCAGTTTTCCTATCTATGTAATATAGAGATATACTTTTTTAGTTATCCTTGGTTTATTTAATTGGGGGTGGGTGGGTAATATAGTCATGTGATTCAAAAAGTGTAAGAAGATAGATAGTCATCATCCCTTACCATCAAGGAAATGCAAATTAGAACTAGAGTGAGATATAACCTCACACCTGCCAGAATGGCTAAAGTCAGCAACACGTGTTGGCAAGGATGTGGAGAAAAGGGAACTCTCTTGCACTGTTGGTAGGAATGAAAACTGATGCAGCCTCTGTGGTAAATAGTATGGAGGTTCCTCAGAAAGTTAAAAATAGAAGTACCCTATGATCCAGCAATCACACTACTGGGTATTTACCCAAAGAATACAAAAATACTAATTCAGAGAGGCACATGTACCTCTATGTTTATAACAGTATTATTTACAGTAGCCAAGATATGGAAGCAGCCCAAGTGTCTATTAATAGATGAATGGGTAAAGAAGATGTGGTATATATACGCAATGGAATATTATTCAGTCATAAAAAATGAAATCTTACCATTTGCAGTGACATGGATGGAGCTAGAGAGTATAATGCTAAGCAAAATAAGTCAGAGAAAGACAAATTCCATATAGTTTCACTTATATGTGGTATTTAAAAAACAAAACAAATGAGCAAAGGGAAAAAAAGAGAGAGGCAAACCAAGAAACAGACTCTTAATTATAGAGAACAAACTGCTACCTACCAGAGGTGAGAATGGGTGAAATAGGTGATGGAGATTAAGGAATGCACTTGTTCTGAGGAGTACCAGGTGTTGTATGTAAGTGTTGAATCACTGTATTTTACCCTGAAACTAATATAACACTGTATGTTAACTAACTTGGATTAAAATAAAAACTTAAATAAAAAAGAACGTATACAGTGAAGAATCCCATCCTGTCTCCTATTTGCCTGGTTCCCAGTATGAGTTGCAAACGAAATAATTTTTTTAATGTTTTGTTTACTTTTGAGGGGTGGGAGGGGCAGAGAGAGAGAGAGAGAGAGGGAGGGAGGGAGACCAACAATCCGAAGCAGATCTGAGCTGAGAGCTCGGAGTCCCATGAGGAGCTCAAACTCAGAACCTTGAGATTATGACCTGAGCCCAAGTCGGACGCTTAACCAACTGAGCCACCCAGGAGCCCCAAAATATTTTTTTATTAATTTTTTTATATACTCTTTGACATTCTTTCTGAATGTATAGGCACACGTGAATGTTCTTATTTTTCATATATTTTATACACAAATCATAGCATATTACATATATTTCTTCACTTGAAGAAAGTGGCACACACGTTCTCGAAAATGTAGCTTTTATTCATTGTAGTATTGTTTGTGATTAAAACTATGTGAGGGTTTTACATTTTAGCTTTACATTTTTATATATCAGTTGAATTTTTATAATATTACAATAAGGATTTCCATTTTGAAAAAATGTGAATTTTAGATTATTTGTGGATAATCTTTTGCTGTTATTATACATATGTAGATTGGAATACCACAAAGATAATATTTTCTTCCAAAGGAAGTATTTTAGAGTATAAATGAAACATCCTATTTATCTAAGGCACATTACTAAGCTTTAAAGTATTATTTCATTTAATCCATAGAAAATTCTTCAGGCTAGATCTTTTTCTCCTTGTTTTATAGCCAATTAATTGGTATAGCTGGGATTCAAACCTCAGTCTCTTTGATGGCAAAGTCCAGGTTCCCACACTTTTCTCTCCGTTTTGAAAATTGTATGGGCTCTTTTCTTGGATATTACATAGAAACTTGAAAATAAGGGTTGTTATTTGTTTTTAAGAGTATGGAATTTGATAGTTATCAGTCAGTTCTAACATACAAATATGTTATTTAGATTCCTGTATCTTCATTTATATTCATCTACCTGCTCTGTCATTTTTTTAAGTTTCAAATTAACACTATTTTCTTTGATGTCTTCCAATTCTGTTTTATGGCTGCTGCTATTTAGGATATAGATGGATCTATCTCTTTTAACTTCATTGTGAATGTATCCTATATCATTTTTATAAAGTGTTCCCATTTTGGCCTGGATTCTATTTTGTTTGACATTTATATTCTTTATCTTTTTATTTTCACCCCTTCCAAATCACTTTGTTTTTGGTACGTTTCTTGCTTCCACAGAGTTGTTTTTTCTTTTGTGATCCTGTGTGAAATTTCTTTTTTCAGTAGTTGAATTAAACCTACCCATTTGTATTAATTGACAGGATAGATTTAATTGATCTGGTAGGTTTAATTGGTCTTGATTCTGTCACAATTTTTTTGTTGTGTTTTATTTTTCTAAGCTTTTCATTTTGTGGTTGCATTGTGAGTATGTAGTTTGAGTTTTTAGAAAAGTTTATATTTTTGATCTCTAGTTATTCTTAAAGAATTCTTCTAGAGAAACTCCACAACTGCAAATTGTGTATAATAAATGAATTAGTTTTATCTAATTGAAAATTAAAAGTTTATGTATGTAAGTATTCCACATTAGGGTCAGTTTATATGAGGTCTTGGGTTGTTTTTTTTTT